CCCAAAATGTTGGCTTGACCCAAAGAGGTTTTGACTTGACCCAAAGAGGTCTTGGCTTGACCCAAAGTCTTTGTTTGACCCAACCACACCTTGGTTTGACCCAACGAGGTCTTGGCTTGACACAACGAGGTTTTGGCTCTACCCAAAGGTCTTGGTTTGACCCAAAAGTTCTTGGCTTGACCCAACCACACCTTGGTTTGACCCAAAGAGGTTTTGGCTTGATCTAATGAGGTCTTGGTTTGACCCAAAGTCTTTGTTTGACCCGAAACCTCTTGGTTCAACCCAGTGAGGTCTTGGCGTGATCAAAAGGTCTTGACTTGACCCAACGAGGTCTTGGTTTGACCCAGTGAGGTCTTGGATGGAATGAAGGTCTTGGTTTGACCCAAAGAGGTCTTGGCTTGACCCAACGAGGTCTTGGCTTGACCCAGTGAGGTCTTGGATGGAATGAAGGTCTTGGTTTGACCCAAAGAGGTCTTGGCTTGACCCAACGAGGTCTTGGTTTGACCCAAAATGTTGGCTTGACCCAAAGAGGTTTTGACTTGACCCAAAGAGGTCTTGGCTTGACCCAAAGTCTTTGTTTGACCCAACCATGCCTTGGTTTGACCCAACGAGGTCTTGGCTTGACACAACGAGGTTTTGGCTCTACCCAAAGGTCTTGGTTTGACCCAAAGAGGTTTTGGCTTGATCTAATGAGGTCTTGGTTTGACCCAAAGTCTTTGTTTGACCCAAAACCTCTTGGTTCAACCCAGTGAGGTCTTGGCGTGATCAAAAGGTCTTGGTTTGACCCAAAGTCTTGGTTTGACCCAACAACCTCCTGGTTCAACCCAAGGTCTTGGCTTGACCCAAAACCATCTCGACTCAACCCATCGAGGTCTTGACTTGACCCATCGAGGTCTTGGCTTGAGCTGAGGTCTCGGTTTGGCTCTGCTATCTCTTGGTTCAACCCAACGTCTTGAATTGACCCAAAATCACCTTGGCTTGACCCAACGATGTCTTAGTTTAACCCACCCATCTCTTGGCTCTACCCAACCACATCTTGACCCAAAATCGTCCTGACTTGACCAAAAATCGTCTTGACTTGACCCAAAATCGTCTTGACTTGACCCAAAATTGTCCTGACTTGACCCCAAATTGTCTTGACTTGACCCAAAATTGTCCTGACTTGACCCAAAATCGTCTTGACTTGACCCAAAATCGTCTTGACCCAAAATTGTCTTGACTTGACCCAAAATTGCCCTGACTTGACCCAAAATCGTCTTGACCCAAGGACATCTTGACCCAGTGAGACCTTGACTTCTCCCTGACATCTGACCCAACGCTTTGGTTTGACCCCAAGGTCACCTTGGCCTGTCCCAAACACCTCTTCATTCTTGGACCCACCCAAAACCTTGGACTGACCAAGTGAGGTCTTGACTGGGCTCAACGATGTCTTGGTTTGACCAGTGATGGGTGGCCTTGACC